AAAACCAAAAACCAAAATTTTGGTTTTGGTTTTTGGTTTTTCAGAAAGCCAAAAACCAAAAAAACAAAAAAATCAGACCCAACAATCAAAATCAAAAACCAAAATTTGGTTTTTGGTTTTTGGTTTTTCAGAAAACCAAAAGCACCAAAAAAAACACATGCCCCTTTTGGTTTTGGTCTGGCCTGTTGGGTCTGTTTTTTTTGGTTTTTGGTTTTTCAAAGGTGTCAAACCGTGCCAAACCGTGCCAAACTATATGGGGTCCTATGGGGTTCTTCCTCGTCATTGCTTTCTGCGCCACTGCGCTGCCACTGCTCATGCTTGTCTCCCTTCAGTTGTGCTCGTCTCCGTTGATGCTTGCCTCCCTTCTTCTATCATTTGGCTTCTTCTCCCTTCCTATCCAATCATCTTCTTTAATGGTTGTGCTTGTTTTGCTCTTTGCGTTGCTTCAAAAGCATTTTCGTATACAGCGACCACAACGACATCAACAACAACAAAAACTACTGCTACTACTACTACTACTACTATCACTACTACTCCTACTACTACTACTGCTACTACTACCACTACTACTACTTTTACTTGTACTTCTACTTCCACGGCTTCCACTACTTCTACTCCTGGTACTGCCGGCACTATACTGGCACTTTTGGTATCTTTTGGTAACATTGCTGCTCGTGGTACTATTCGTTTTACTATGTTGTACTAGTTCTACTATGTTGTACTACTGCTAGTCGCTGCTGCTGGTGTGGCGCTTGTTGCTCTTTTTGGATTGCTGCATACAATGTGGCAATGGAGTGACAGCGGGGTCTCGATCCTTGAGTCTGTGGGTTTTGTTGATTTTTCACGTCGGATTTGGGCGGAATTGAAATGCCGATTGATAGACATGTCCGGACATGTCATACCATGTTTTGTAAGCCGAACGTCGCCTTGCGTGCGTTCTTTTCTTCATGCTCGTCTTGTTCACAGGGCGCTTCGACATCTCCAGATATTCGCAGATATTGCTTCCTCCACGATACACTTTCTCCTGGTTCCTTTTCGTCCTGTTTTCGTCCCTTATCCTTTCTCTTATTATCTCCTTCTACCCACCCCCCAGCGTCCGTTACCCGCGCCCCAACTTCCTCGAACTTCCTCTGGTTTCACCATTCTGACGTATGGTTTGTTGATCGTTTGATTACTGCGTATGATGCATGGAGGAGTAGTCGGTTGTTCAACATTGCGCAACTACGAAAGTCAATAAGATGGCTGATTATTGGTTAGATGTAATCAAACTATAAAAGGTCTAACACATAGTAACTAAGTAATCATAGGCTTGGTTACATCTTTGTGAGTTTTGTTTTTCCAAAATGAAATCATGTCAGGGGTGAGGGCAAGGCTTTGGCTAGAAGAATGGCAAGTCCGTGCCCTCCCTGAATGTTTTTGAATGTTTTTGCCGTTTGCCTGCCTTCAGGATTAACGTGGATGAGGCCATGCAGGGTGCCAGGTATTTTTTTCAGCTGTTGGATTACGTTGATACTTTCTTTAAGTTCCGGCGCACATTGTTTGTGCCTCTTCTACCAATCATCTTGGTTACATGGCTTTAGCTTCGGACAGGTATTGCAGAGCATTTCCCAGCAGAATGATGATGCAGACAAGGTCCAATGCCAGGATTACTGTAAGTTTTGCTGACTCAGCCCGTCCATGTTGTCTCAACTGTTTTCATGTTAACAGGACGCCATGCCGCAGTTTTTTCCGGTCCGTTGTGCAACGGTTGGCTTTTGGTTGCGAACCATGAACCATGTTGAGCCAAAGCCAGGGTGTGCGAGGGTGTGTGAGGTCCTGGATATCCGTGGATATCCAAAGAACTCCAAGCGATTGCTTGTTTGAAAGGTCACATGCAAAGGATTTCCGAGGCTTTGAACTTGGGAGTAGTGTCTTCTTTACACCCTTCTACTTTTGGACTTTTACTTCGCAACAGTGGTTTCGAACATGTCAGTTCCGAGAACATGAGGCAAGTTTCTTTAAACACGAAAGAGTACAAATCAGTACAAACTGGCGCAAACTTGTACAAGTAAGTACAGGACAATGAAGAGCCACCACGAAAATTCGATGCGGGCTAGAGCCTTCGCGCGTCGTATGTCGTGACATGGCTTGGTGCTCGACGCATGTCTGGCAACAGCGATGTGAAGGCCACGCGGGACTGACTGGCAACATTTGTCATTTGAAGGCAATCTTTCATCCTACCTGGTGAATATTTGGAGACATAAGGACCCATTTAGCACAAGAAATCTAGGGTGGAAGCCGGCGGAAGTCAAGCATTGGATTTTTGTGAGCCTGGGTGTCATGTCAAACATATACAATTCCGGATTAATGATGCTATAGTTTTGTGGTGGTGAGGAAAAGCCGCGTCATGTTTTGGGTTTCTCATGTGTGGTGGCTTTTTGTAACACAGTTAAATTTTGGATTCCTCATTTTGGGTTTAAAGCAACATAGAGCATCATTGGAAGAGTATCTGAAGGCAAAACATTTAACTTTATAATTTATATGCCGGATTGCCGGGTCCAAACAGTAGGGCCCCGACGGTCGGAGTGGGTCGGAGTCTCGAATTACAGATTCAAAATGGAAGGCTTCTTTGCAATCCTCCGCCTTCGTTTTTTTTTTCTTTCTTCTTTGTTGCTGTCTCCCGACGGTCGGGCCCCAACGGTCGGGCCCCGACGGTGAGAGCCCAAATGTTTGGAAGCACAGGCTCAAAATGGAAGCCTTCCTTCTTTTTCTGTTTCCATTTCCTGCTGTCTCACCCTTTTCTCTTTTACATATTTTCATCTTTTTTGTTTTTCTTGTCTCAATTACGGTCGATTAAAGTAACATGAGTATCATTGGATGACTGCTAAAACGCAACGCGTTTGAATTTAAACTTATATGTAGGATTGCCGGGTCCAAACAGTCGGGCCCCGACGGTCGGAGTCTCGAATTACAGATTCAAAATGGAAGGCTTCTTTGCAATCCTCCGCCTTCGTTTTTTTTCTTTCTTCTTTGTTGCTGTCTCACGACGGTCGGGCCCCGACGGTCGTGAGAGCCCAAATGTTTGGCCGCACAGGCTCAAAATGGAAGCCTTCCTTCTTTTTCTGTTTCCTTTTCCTGCTGTCTCACCCTGTTCTCTTTTACATATTTTCATCTTTTTGTTGTTTTTCTTGTCTCAATTAAAGTCGATTAAAGTAACATAGAGTATCATTGGATGACTGCTAAAACGCAACGCGTTTGAATTTAACTTATATGCAGGATTGCCGGGTCCAAACAGTCGGGGCCCAACGGTCGGAGTCTCGAATTACAGACTCAAAATGGAAGGCTTCTTTGAAATCCTCCGCCTTCGTTTTTTTTTCAACTTGTTGCTGTCTCACGACGGTCGGGCCCCGACGGTTAGAGCCGAAATGTCTCAGTTTGCTTTCTATTTTTTCTTTCCCTGCTGTCCGCTGCTGTCTCACCCTTTCCGTTTTCGTTCTTTTTTACATTTTTACCTTTCCAGTTTCTATGTTTCTTGTATTTTTCCTCGTTGTTTTAATTACAACAACATACAATATCATTGAGTGAATTTTAAAAAGGCAAGCCGCTAAAATATATATAAATATATACATAGTTTTGCCTGGCCCCGACAGTCAGGCCCTGACGGCCGGGCCCCGACTGTGGGAACAAATGTCTGGAGTTACAGAGTCAAAATTGAAACCTTCCTGATCCCTCCTTCTTTTTCTGTTTCCTTTCCTGCTGTCTCACCCTTTTCGCTTTAATTTCATACTTTTCTTTTTTTATTATTCTGGTGTTTTTCCTTCTTTGTGTCAACTGGAGTAATATACACTATCATTGGATGTTTTTAAACGGCAAAAAAGCTCTAGGATTGGCGGGTCCCGACGGTCGGGCCCCGACGGTGGGAGCCCAAATGTCTCGAATTAAGACTCAAAATGAAAACCTTCTTTGCAATCCTCAGTTTGCTGTCTTTATCATTTTTCTTTCCCTGCTGTCTGACCCTTTCCTTCTTCCTCATTCTTTAGCTTTTTCTTTCTAGTTTCTATTGTTTTCGTTGTTCCTATTACAATAACATACAAGATCATTGCGTGAATATTGCAAAGGCAACAAACCGT